GACTAATTACAATGCATCACCTTGCTCTAATTAATATATTCTATTAACAGTTTCTTCCAGTTTCTCCTGTTCATTTGAAGGACGGAATTGTTTCCTTGTACAAGCTACTGACGACAATTTTGATTGGACGATAAATTCAGTAAGTGAACGGATTACCTATACATAAAACATTTGTGGAATTTGTCATGAATGGAGGCCATTGCACTGACCACTGTATACCTTGAAATTTTCACTACGTTTTAATTGGTCTTGTTTACCTTCCCTAAGGAAGGCAAATTAATCATTACAGTGAATATATGTAAATAGCATAGTAAAAATAGTAATAAAATGTAAATAGCCAAATTAACACTGGACCAAAATTGATTTCATGGGCGAAGGGAGACAAAGTCTGCGTATACAGTATTTATCACCTAATCGGCCCGTTATCCAGTGAATTCGCCCGTGTAATGATTTTACATATGTCACTAGTGTAATATACCCTGGAGCGTTTTTCATTGGCTGTGCCAGTCAGAAATCGATTGTGACGTCATAATATGGACAGTGACGTCGTAAATTATGAATGGCGCAACAAAATGGCTGTCAATGTTTGAGTAAGCCCTCTACATTTTGGCTTTAAATCCTGTCAAAATTAAGTTTTATGAGTTATGTGATAAAAAGTATCTTAAATTTGTTTACATTTCATATGAGCTTTTATGAAAGTTTTAATTTTTCCCTGCCAAGGCTCGTAAAAATAAAAACTCTTAAGTCATCGTTTCATAAAAACTCATATGAAATGAAAACTCATTTAAGATCCTATATTTATCTGTTGAAACAGATATTATAAAAACAGATATTAAAACAATTTTTCATGTCTTAACGGCCCATACAAATAATAGAATTACAATTATATCAATTATTAATTATAGAAATAATTGTCCATGTAAGAAATTAGCAATTATAAAAACCAATTGTTCATGTACTTGCCCATATCTGAAACTAGTATCGTGCATTAGAAATGACCATCATTTCCTATCGGGTTAATCATGCAAGTATACATGATTGTATTCCTTTTCACCAATTCTTATCTTTAAAAAAATTAAATGTTTTTTTTTACAGCAGGTCTGCAACCATACATTAACATGATACGCTACGTATCACAATACTGCGGTTACAATACGATACGTGTCACAATACTGTGGTTACAATTCGATACGTATCACAATACTGTGGTTACAATACGATACGTATCAGCTGTCACTCACCATGTGGGAACGGATATAAATAAAATAAATTCAGAAAGAACAAAGTCTGGAAAATATTGAAGGTGTATCATGACCTCGCAAAAAAATAAACCGTATTCAAAATATCTCGATATATTGCCGTATATTGTCCCAAGTGACCTAATTTCAAGATTTGATGCGATTATAGAATTTCTTGACTTACTTGAATTTTACATTGCTGGACCCGTTGCTTTAAGCAAGAGTTGAAAAGGACCCCTGAAAATAAATTTAGATTGATCACGGATTTCAAGATTTTCATACTGTCGAATCTACTTATTTCAATTTTAGGGTTCCACTCCATCCACTGGCACAGGCCCAGACAGTGCACAGTTTGGTAATAATTATTTGTATGCAGAGGGTTCCATACCACGGGTACCAGGAGATATGGCTCGCATGTCAACCAACCTGAACTTCCCAGGTACCGTAAAAACTTGGAGATTGGGATTGATTTAGTTCATAAGGATTGATTTAGTTCATAAGGATTTATTTAGTTCAGTTTGTTTTTTTGTTTGTTTGATTTTGTTTAACGTCCTATTAACAGCTAAGGTCATTTAAGGACGGCCTCCCCTGTGTGCAAGATGCATGCGTGTAGTGTATGTGTGTGTATTTTGGGAGGCTGTGATATGTTCGTGTTTGTCTCCTTGTGATAGCGCGGAACTGATGCCGACTTTATAGTGCTACCTCACTGAGACATACTGCCGAAGACACCCAGCAGGACGACCTTATTTAGTTCAAATAGAATATTTAATGGTGTCTTCATTAATAAGAAATATATTTCACTCCAGTGCGGCAGTTATTTTGATATTTTTCACTCGCACTGTGCACTCGTGAAAAATATCACAATATAATTTATAAGCCACACTTGTGAAATATATTTCTTATTACTAAAGACCCCATTAAATATCTTATGCATGTTGCAAAAGCTAAACAAAAACAGCCATTTATTTTGCAGTACAAATGTAGCTTCATCTGAAGTTGAAACTAAAATTGTTTGCAGTGAAGAGAAAGTATCGTTCTAATTGGATATAAATAAGAATGATACTTTCCCTTGTGAATGTTAAATTTTGTATTTCTTGACTAGAGTGCAGGATAAGAGATTTTATAAAAGGGAGAATTTATGATATTTCATTAGTTAATGTAATAAATGCTGATATCGTAGGGGTTTCCAACTATTTTTATGCGCCCGTCAAATTTGACAATACGGCCGGCGTAAACTTTTGTTTGTCCGGCAATCCCCTCCTACATTTTACGACCGATATCTTTGAAACGTGGTATACATTATAATCATGATATGAAGTTGTTTCTCCCTTAAAAGAATTTTGATTCAACAATTTTTCCAAAAGTTATTGCTCTTTGTTCATTTCAGTATTTGATTTTTGTCCGGCAATCTCCTACATTTTTCAAAGGATCTCTTTGAAACTTAGTAGGCTAAATAAGCATGATATGTTGTGTTTCCTTGAGATGAATTTTGTTTCGACGATTTTTGCAAAAGTTATTGCTCTTTGTTCATTTCAGTATTTGATTTTTTTTGTCCCGAGATCTACTGCTACATTTTTATAGCATGTCAGCTAACCACTCTTTGAATGATGCAGATCTTATTTCAATGTAAGAAAAATAACACTATATGGCATTCGACGGGCGTATATCGTTCCGCCCTGCGGTACTCTTGTTGAAGATAGTATACAGCCTCAAATTCCCAGAAGGCTTTCACCGATGTGAAAGCACCGGAAGTGGACAAAGTGTTTACAGATCAAACCCTGCGGCACTTTTGCTACTTAAGGGTTCGAAAAAAAACCTCGGAAAGTAAACAAGGCAATGAGCTGAATGAAGGACATTGTACATTCCAAAGCCAATACACATGACTAATGTTACCATCCGGGAATTTCAAATAAAGGAACTAAAATCTACACAAAACAATGAACATCGAAAAGTATACTTAACTTGACAGGGGGAAGTTACTCTTGGCTAGAAGAACCCCTTTTGGTTGCTTCATCTTTTATATAGAAGGGAGAGTACTCCAATTAAAAGAAAAAAAAACTTAGTGGAACTCTTTAATGATTATGACTGGAGTGGTACGATTTACCTTAAGGGTCCCTGTACCACTGAATCAAGGTTTTCATATATACAGTTACCTCCATTTAACATCCATTTGGAAATAACCGAGTGTTGCACTGTTTGGACAGGGTTGACCAGGTTAATTGGTTAGAGCAATAGTTAAACAATCTACTGTCCAGTGTTCGAACCCCGATCTACCCTGCTCATTTTTATTTCCATTCAGATCACTGTTTATTATATTTTGTTTATTCCATCGTTATTCATTTTCTCCTAAAAGTCCCGTAAGGTATGGTTCTTGTCAAAAATGATTTATCAAAGCTATTCTAACGCGAACATTTTGTTTTCCAGCTCTTGGTTCCAGTTTTGTTCAGTGGTACGGGGATCCTTTAATTTGGACACAATAAATATGAGGATAAGATGCTTTTTATATTTATTGGAATTCCACGTCCAATCAACAGGTGCCCTATACGATTTTTATGCAAGTTTATATTGGTTAATTTAGCCACGGATCGATGTCTGAGGTTCTGGTACTTCATGTATGGGAATTCTGTCGGTCAGCTGACTGTCGCTGCATCCGGGACCACCACACCCAAGGCTAATATTTGGTCACTGAGTGGAAATCAGGGACAGACCTGGACACAAGTTTCCGTAAATGTACCGTCCACCGATGGACTCCAGGTATTGTTTTGTAGATTTCTCTTACGTTCTCGATTTGTTCGGCTTTTTATCAAATAACGGTACACATTGTTAAGCCAAAAAAATATATTCATGTTTCAGGTACTCAAACCAACCTATCCTAACAATTTTATCTCTTGAATGTACTTGACTCATTTGAACGGGCCAAAAAAGAAACAGTTTTTAAAAAAAATCTCTGCATCATAGGCAAAACAATAATACCATTGTCTCCTTAAATGGTCAATAACTTATATCGCTTGCAAATGCATCATGACTGCGATCAGCGCCACCTAGTGGCACACAAAGCAGTACGAGATAATTTTGTTCTTATTTGCTAGTTGAAACAAAAAGATTATTTCAAATGTATACGGCACTCTGGAAAGACAGCTGTAATCTACAAGCCTTTCTGAATTTCAAAGACTTTTGAAGGATTAAAGAATGCTTCATTTATTAGGTACATTGTATGTTACCCAGTTTATTAATCTCAATAATTTTGAGCTCCCCTATTCAAAGACGGGCGTCGGCTATGGAGTCAGCATGCCATTTGACTCAGGTTGAAGTTTTGGGAAAGTTTTTTTCAAGACAGTGTTTGGTCAACACACTCCATACGCTGTTGTCTAATATAAGGTTGAGGCAGTTATATGGAGTGTAAGCAATGTGCTGAACCATATTTTAGGGGCCAAAAACGGCTGAATTGGACAAGTTTGCTTAAAGTTTTGGACAAGCTATGTTGTAAGTTTTTTTTGTGCAGTATTGGATCACCACCATCAATAGGCTGCTAACTATTATAAGATTGAAGTATTTATACGGAGTGTTAGCAATGTTTCTAAGGTCATGGTCATGTTACATGTAATACATTGTGATATTTAGTTAGGGGTTTAAAAGGTCACTGTTGCTTAAAATGGACCAGAGAGGAGGGGAGGGTCGTTATGATTAGGCACATGGCATGGCCCTATTTACCAGTGTTTAAGTGACAAACAAGTTTGCTTAAACCGCATTAGATGAAAATGAGTTGGAATTCAAATGATTGAAATATATAATTGTAAAAAAATAAATTTGTGCTGTCCCTCCTTACCTAATTTTCAGGGATGTGCGTAATAGGTCAATTTAGCAGGAACTGTGTTTAACAAATTTAAAGTGCAGTGGCCATGACACATACTGGATTTTAGCTATTAGTGTCATGTTTTGTTTCAGAAACATTTGTTGCAGGAAAGTTCTCTGACAACTCTGCAAAAAAATAATCTTTACAGTAATCGTTGAATTTTACTTTAGGAACAAAACAAGCCTCAAAAAACCTAGATACCTTATGCTGAAACATTAGTTAAGGGTCTGTCATATTTACATTAACTTCAAACAAAGACATACCTTAATACAAATGGTTTACATTTAAAATCGTAGATTTACTTTGAAACCACCAGAGGATCCAGCTGGGACTCGGATATTGCCATTGATACCGTGGAATTGACACCTGGCTTATGCTGTAAGTATTCCCTAATCATTATACCTACTGCAACGAAATCATGGGATGGTATACTGGAATAGCATTGCCTGTCCGTATGTCTGCAACACACAATTTTGTCCAGTAAACTTCTCCTTTAGTTTTCAGCTAAATTTCGTAAAACTTCACCGAGGCAGTCAACACACTCTGAAGTTGTACACGCGCGATCCAAATTTTGATCTGGCCAGTTTTATGGGAGTTATCTCCCTTTTCTAAGAAAGTTTGCCAAAATTTTGTTCGGGCATATCTTCTAGACTATTTCACCTGGAGTAACTAGATCACGTATACAAACATATTTTTGGATGTCAGGATATCGAGCTCAAAAAGAAGGTTATTGTAGCCTATGCTTTGAATTTTGACTTGATCGTTTGAAAAAGTTTGTTCGAGGAATATCTTCTATATTATTTCACCAGGAGTAACCAGATATGATGTGCAAATACATCTTGAAAGGGTGGAGGGTAAAGTTCAAAAAGTAGGTCAATGTGACCTATGGTTTGTAACACATGATCATTTTATAATGAGATGTATTTTTTTAACCTCGCAACAAGTTGTCGTAGGTACATATAGGGATATGCCCTATACATTTGTGTCCCAAATGACGTCGCTGCTCGACAACACTTCATTTCTTATCCGTTTGTCAGGAAACATCGCACGTGTTTACACCTGTTGTAGGAGTTCTTGTTTCGACCTAATCATGGGTTAGGAAGTAGGTCACTGTAACTATTAATGGAATTTCTTACAATTTTTGAAGTCGCCACTTTACAGACTGCATTTCGTTTCCAATTGCCACAAAATTTCACACATGTTCTCACAAACATCACCTCTTGGACAGGTTTGCGTTTTGACCTGCTGCAGTCAAAAACGAGGTTGCTGCTACTATAAATATAAATGTATTGTCACAAAACGTCACAAACATTTAGAAACATGACCTCTTGTATGAGTTGGTGTTTCAGCTTTCTGCGGTCAAAACCTTTCCATTTCTCATGACTTTGAAGTGTGAGGGTACGTGTTCGCAAGCAAAATTTCTAGATTTGTTTTCTCCAATACCTTTGTCTTGCTGTATTTCAAGGGTGAAGAGAAGATATGCATGTCGAGAGCGGAACCGTTTTAGTTCAAAGTGGTGAAATGGCTTGTTTCTATGATAGTACAGTCAAAATCAAGTTAATATTAACATACTTTATTATCCCCTCGCAATGAAGGTTTGAGGGGATGTACGTATGTTACACTATTTGTCATCACTGTAGAGACTTCATTCCTCAACGAAATTTCATGAAACTTCATACAAGTGTTAGGTATGACATTAATACTTTGATCAAGTTTGCATTTTGGGTTTCTAGGTCATTGTTACTATTTTTAGAACAACTTTGTTATCGCTCTAGCGACTTCATTCCTCAATGGAATTTCATGAAACTTCATACAAGCAGTGTTCTCCCCAGGCTGTTTTAGCGCAACAGTACTGTTACACATGAATTTTGAGCCGCTACACATCACCATTTTACCATTACGCATGCATTTGACTGTTACACATCAAGTTCTCGCAACTTATGATAACCGGATCATCTTCTCCCCTTTCCAATTAGACTTGCCCTCATTAGACTAGCTTTTATTGTTCTCTACGATCGACGCCCTGATCAACGAACTCTGCCCTGCGGGTAGATTTACCTATAGGTAGCCTATAGGTGTGAAACGTGAACAAAAGACCACAATTCAGCGTGTAATTCGTCTAATTATAATTATAAAGATGTCTGTTAATTATCAAGGCTTCAATCTTTTCATAAGTGACTGACAATTACACCAAAATAAGAAATACAAACAGAAGTTCAGACAGTAGCTTTGTATTTAGTAAAATGCCAAATGTCTGCTGACTAACCTTTTCTGCATTGTTTTCGGCCATCAAATGTTAATGCTTGAAATAAGTTGGCTATGCTGCGAGAAGCTTTTATCAACAGCAGTCTGTCGATACAACTTTTATAAAGCTTGAAATAAATTTTGCTGCAGTAAGATAGATCGCAAGTGAGCAGACTGCACGTGGCGGCCATGTTTTGATAACCTGAATAATCTTACTTAATCCGTGATGCAATGGCTTTTGACACATGGATGAGGAGCGTTGATCATTTTGGCGACAAATTTATAAATTTGACAGTAACATTACAACAATGTGTGAATGCAAGGGGATTTTTACCCACATGACACATGGATGCCTTGGTGAAAGGCAAGTGCGCTATATATCGACTGTGCTACTCGACCACCCCAATGATATGCAGATGTTGAGACCACACATGTAGTTGGTATTTTTAGGATATCGGGAGTTTAGCTTCGTAGCAATGAATTGGCAGAATTCTTTCAAGATTTTGCGACCTGACAGGTAATTATACCCCAAAGAAGTTAGGGGGGTATACTGGAATCTGTCTGTCTGTCCGTCCATCTGTCCGTCCATCTGTCAGAGTGTCCCTAGAATAATAAACTTGTCCGGACAGTTCCTTCTAAAGTAATTGACCAATTTCAAAGAAACGTTCCAGATATGATAATTACCACCTAAAGTTGTGCATCCAGGTATTATTATTTTTCATTCTGACCCTTTTTGACTAAGTTATGGCCCTTTGTTGAACAGATCCTGAAACTTTTTGTCCGGACAATTCGTTCTAAAGTTATGGATCGATTTCAACGATACTTTCCAGATATGATAACTACCACCTGAAGTTGTGTATCCAGGCATTATGTTTTCATTTTGAGCATTTTTGTCCGGACATCTCCAAAACTACAGGGCTTATTTCAACGAAAGTGTTCAGATTTATCTACCTCCTGATGTTGTGCATTCATATATTATTTGTTCAATCTGACCCTTATTTTACGGAGTAATGGCCCATTGTTGAAAAGGATTTGTCCAGACAAACCTCCAAAACGATGGGGCCAATTTCAACGGAGGTTTTCAGATATGATAACTACCCCCTGATGTTGTGCATCCAGATAAAAAACAACACCTTTTTTTATGGAGTTATGGCCCTGTGTTGAAAAACCCTTGTCCTGACAACGTCTCCTAATCTACTCGGCCAATTTCAAAGTTTACATATATGGTAACTGCCCCCTGTTTTGTGCATCCAGTTAGTACTTTTTTCATTCCGACCCTTTTAAAAGGAGTTATGGTCATGTGTTGGGGAAAAAACACCTTTGTCCGTCTCCTAAACTACTGGTAAGTTTACAGATATGGTAATTACAGCCTGATGTCGTGCCTCAGGGTAGTATTTTTTTTTATTTCAATCCTTTTTTAAGGAGTTGTGGCCCTTTGTTAAAATCGTTGTCCTGACTACTCTTCCTTAACCCTTTCACCACTGTAGACCATAATTGATTCCTCCAGATCAATGCATGGTAGAGTCTACTAAAGTTACATAAAGGTGAAAGGGTTAACCACTAAGACGATTTAAGCAAAACTGGTTCATCTGGGCTAACAAGATTTGGTTTGCAAGTATGTTTTGCCATTGAGAGGGAGTACAGAAAGTATGTCATTTACCTATATTCTTAAATAAGTGTACAGCTCAGATATTCAGTATCAGAAATCATTACTGGTGGGTGACTATGGATTGCTTTGCAATGCTTAACCATAATAATACTTAACCTTTAGCTTACAGTTCTGGTTTATATAGGAGCGGGGGGAATTTGTTAACCTTTGGCCTACAGTTCTAGGTAAAAGCTGTTCTGAAAAAGGGATGTGGCATTGTCCCTTAATTTCCATTTGGATATAACTAGCACAGTTGGGCCCGGACACTTCTGTTGACCAGGTACATGTAGCTCAATTGATTACAAGGAAAGAATAGCACTCTTGAAGTCAAGGGTTTGAACGTGCTTTTAAGCTGACTTTTAAGCTGACTTTTTACTCCGATCACTGTTGATAATATTTTGTTTTATTTCATCTTTATTTTTTCTCATGAATGTCATCACAGACCTTAAAGGTATGCGTTTTTTCTTCATAAATGATTTATCAAAGCGATACTCATGCTGGAAAAAATGGTTTCCAATACTTACAGTTGTTGGCCGTGGTACTGGGATCCTAAAGTGGAACTATCGAGTACACAATGAAATTAACCAAGCCCTCTCTGTGTTTCAGTGACTGAGAACTACAGCTGTACTTTTGAAAATGCGGAGTGTTTCCTCAGGGACTCCCCCAACGATAACTATAACTGGACTTTGCAAACAGTAAGTTTCTAGCCTACCTGGTCCGACGGACCATGGTGAGCTTAGGCCGTACCGTGGCCTCCGTCGTCCGTCCATGCGTCAACTTTTCCTTTAAAACGCTGCTTGTCCTGAACAGCTTTATGGATTTTGACTTAACTTGGACTAGAGTATCCTTTGGCAAAGGGGACTAAGTTTTGTATAAACAGAGGGTGTGGCCCCTCTGGGTGCAGAGGGGTAAGGCCCATAAGGGGAATTTGAGGTTTAACTCTTCAAAATTATTATTCTGTACTATGCATAGGAGGGATTTTATCCAAATTCGGCCTGGAGCATCCCTGGGCAAATGTGGACTAAATGTTGTATAAACGGAGGATGTGGCCCTTCTGTGGATGCAGAGGGCCGGTCCCCAATATGGGGAACGTAGTTACTGTAATAAATGATTAAATTCCTTCCCCTTTAGTAAGAATTTAGGGATTTAAAAAAAATTGTGTAGAGCATCCTTTGACAAAGGGGACATCCTTTTGTTAAATGGAGGTTGCTCCTAGGGAGCAGAGGGGCGGGCCAAGTAGGGAAAATGAAGATAATGTTTGAAATCCACCCCAATTCATGGGGGCAGAAAGAAGGGACCTAAGGAGGGACAGGTGTTGCTGAGATGGTCTATACTTGGAAATAAGTTGCAGTATTATATGTTATAAAACATTTCCAAGGATGCTTTATTATTCAGGTGAGCGATCAAATTTCATGAGGAATTTCCTTGAAAAAAAGCATGTATTGGGCCAGCCATCAATTCAAAATATGCTCCATATATTTATTGTTTTGGTACCTGAACCCTTTCACCCCTATGTAAATGTATTACACTTTACCAAGCATTGATATGGATGAGTCCATTATGGTCTACAGTGGTGAAAAGGTTTATCCTGGTCCTGATTATCTCATTCCCTTTGCTATTTTATATATTCCATATTTGACTTAATAAGGGCCCCGACTAATTAAAAAGGGCGTTGGTAATTGAGAAGGGGCGCCCATATTGAGTAGCATATATACTTACAGTTACTGGAGTTTCCTAGGATGTACGTGAATATTTATAGCTGCGTAAGGGTGAATGAATAAAATCCTGGGATGCTCGCTGGCAAAGACCCACCTGTCGGGTTATCCGAATATTTTGTTTTGTGGGGATTGTGGCGGAAACAGTGGGGTCCATTGAGGGAAATAGATAAAATATTATGCCTCAGCCTGGGAGTTTGAAACAACTTGGACACTTGTTTAAGTTTTCATTTAAGATTATAATTAGCCCGATTAAACAATAATCTGTTACTTTCAGGGTGGAACACCATCGTCCAACACCGGCCCAAGCAGTGCACACACTGGTTCTAACTATATCTTCTACGAGGTATCCAGTCCTGTGGCCCCAGGAGAAACTGCCAAGCTGGAGACTTACAATGCTATACCTGGTAAAAAAAAATGAATCTTACGTGGGTGTGATACGTGCATTGACAGGGAAATGGCAACCCGAGAGTAAGAGTTTGGCTGTCTAGCACGAAGCGTGGCAGAGTGCTGGACAGCCAAACTCTTACCCGTGGGTTGATGTCCCTGTCCATGAACCATATACCTATGTTTGATTCTTTTTCTTCCATGCTCGAAATAAACATGCCAGTGTCAATACTGGTGAACTACTGTTTGCTATAGTGATAAATACACCAGCATTGAAGCCAAATAGGCGAAAAATTAAACTGCAGCGAAACTTTCCCAGTATTCAGTAGATATTTTTTCCCTCATAGGGCAGAATGCACTGAAAGTGAAAAATATTGGTATCGGTAATTATATATACAGTATTTTATCAGCATTATGTGTTTCGTTGACAATACAGTGTCTTTGATATTTAAAGGACCCGTGGTATTATATATGCGTCATGTTGGCCTCATACATATCAACAAAATTGCGTCATGCAGAAAAAGCAAAAATGTTTTTTTTTCGACAGTTAGCATGCAGAAATGAAAGCCTCTGCATGTGACAAACAAAGAATCCTTTCTACGAGTGAACACTCGGGTATGACAATGTTCAAGTGTGTCAAATATCAATTTGTTTGATGCATGCGGAGGCTTTCAAAATTTGAAGAATGTTTAGTTAATTTGCTTCATAATGGCCAATTAATTTCCAACCAAATAATGCACAACAGATGATATTCACACATTTCAGTCTGAAAATGAGGGTTTATGTCTCTTTGTAGGGCCATCCCAGTTGTTGGATAAATTTGAAATTTCATATTTGCGTACTAAATTTATTCCAGATTGCAAATGTAACTACTAATTATAAATCCCGGATGAGACCGAAAATGTCCCTTAATACCTCTATATAGTCTTTTATTTAACCTTCCACTACTGTGGATCATAGTGGACTAGATCGAGATCAATGCATGATAGTTTACTAAAGTTGCATAGGGGTGAAAGGTTTAACTTATGGATTACATACCCTGTGTCTTTTTTACAGCTATGGATCGCTGCCTTTCATTTTGGTATCATATGAATGGAGATAGTGTGGGTAATCTACAGATTTCTACAACAAGCTCTGGAGTTCTGTGGACAAAGTCTGGTGACCAGGGCGATATGTGGGTTAGAGCTACGGTTAACTTGCCAGCGGACCCCTCATTTCAGGTACATATATGGATCATAATTTGGTAAACTCATTCACCCTTGAAATTTCATAATGAACTATTCTAATCATTGAATTGGAATAGTACAAATGTGTTTTCAGGGGTGAACGAGTTGATTAATTTTACGTTGTATACTGTTTAACCCCAACAATTCTGGTTATCCCTTATTATTTATTTTTCAGAAATCGGACATTATTTTTGAATTTATGGTTAATGAATATTTATTCATTTCTGATGAAAACAAAATTATTTTTGCACAAAACACAACATTGTGCAAGTAATTTCATTGCCAAGAAACTTCAACCAATCAGAAGTTAGAATTACAAATACTGTGCCGAACATTGCGGTATACAACATCACTTTTCGTGTTGTCTGTTTTTCAGGTTAAACAATAAAACCTGAAAGTCTTATGGTTAAGGAATAGCCAAAATTAAATTATGTTCTTGCATCTTCAAAATATTATAAAGCGTCTTTGTATGAATTGAGAAATAATTGCAGTATACGAGAAATAATTGTGTTTAACTGGAGAATATATTCGTAATGCTAGTATGTACATTTGTATATGATAGAATGAACGACAGGAAAATTCCACCCTCAGGATGTTCAAATTTTGCAAAACCCTCCGCTTTCATTCCAACTACCAGATTAAGCTTAGAAACCATGAAAATGTGTTTTGACTTGCTACCATTTTGAAAAGATCAACATTTCCCCCTGGTCTTTTTAGACAAAAACAAATCTGTCAAAGAGATTTATTTAGCATTCCCCATATTTGCAAACATAGTTTACACAAAACAAATCATCCCATCTTTCTAACTTGTATGGTCAATATATTGTAACAGATTTAATTTGCAACAGACTTTTCCCAATTTGTTACGTCCTGTTATTGTGATAGCATTAGCATCCTCCCATCCTATTACTTCAGTCACAACTCCATCAACAGTAGTCTGCCATGTTTGTAAACAAAACACATAAATGGGGTATGGATATCGTCATTCACTTTTGATGACGTCACAATTACCGGTGACACATTTTAATCACGTCACAATTAAACATGTGCTAATCAGCACGAGGCTATCTCCTCCTAGGGGGTGACGAGGCTATCTCCCCCAAGGGGGTGATGAGGCTATCTTCCCCTAGGGGGTGACAAGCTGATCTTTCCCGGCTAAAACAGGAGACACACATGTGAAGGGTGGGAGAAAGCTCTTGTCTTACACACACAGAAATGAGGAAAAGTGCATCCTCGATTCTCCAGGGGTTATGCTTATTTGCGCTCTCTGCACCCTTGGGATGTTATGACAAAAGTGAAGGCTCGGTGTGCTGCACCACCTTGTGGTGAAACGAGAAGACTAGTTTGATCATTTGACGTACATTCAAAGAAATTCGCAGTCACGTAATGGTAAAATTGGAACTGACTTTGAAGTGTGGTTTCGCTTCTCTATAATCTTCAAAGGATAGGTATCCGCCTAGCTGTTGGTCTTTTTTTAGCTCATCTGGTGAGCTTATGCCATACCGCAGCGTCCGTCGTCCGTCCGTCCGTCCGTCAACTTTTCATTTAAAACGCTACTTGTCTTGAACGGCCAAGTAGATTTTGACTAAATTTGGTCTGGAGCATCCTTAGGCCAAGGGGATTCAATTTTGTATAAACGGTGGGTGTGGCCCCCCTGGGGCCTGAGGGGCGGGGCCCAATAGGGGAAATAGAAGTAAAACCTTTAAAATCCTTCTTCTACGGTAGGAATGAAAGGGTTTGTTCCATATTTGGTGTGGAGTATCCTTGGGGGAGGGGGAACAAATTTTGTATAAATGATGGGTCTGGCCCCCCTGGGGGCTGAGGGGCGGGGCCCAATAGGGGAAATATAGCAAATTCTTTAAAATCCTTCTTATTCTGTAGGAATGAAAGGACTTGGTTCATATTGGGTCTGAAGCATTCTTGGATAAAGGGGAACCAATTTTGTATAAACGGTGGGTGTGGCCCCCCTGGGGCCTGAGGGGCGGGGCCCAATAGGGGAAATATAGCAAATTCTTTAAAATCCTTCTTATTCTGTAGGAATGAAAGGACTTGGTTCATATTGGGTCTGAAGCATTCTTGGATAAAGGGGAACCAATTTTGTATAAACGGTGGGTGTGGCCCCCCTGGGGCCTGAGGGGCGGGGCCCAATAGGGGAAATAGAAGTAAAACCTTTAAAATCCTTCTTCTACGGTAGGAATGAAAGGATTTGTTCCTTATTTGGTGTGGAGCATCCTTGGTGGAAGGGGAACAAATTTTGTATAAACGATGGGTCTGGCCCCCTCGGGGCTGAGGGGCGGGGCCCAATAGGGGAAATAGAAGAAAAACCTTTAAAATCCTTCTTCTACGGTAGGAATGAAAGGGTTTGTTCCATATTTGGTGTGGAGGATCCTTGGGGGAGGGGGAACAAATTTTGTATAAATGATGGGTCTGGCCCCCCTAGGGGCTGAGGGGCGGGGCCCGATAGGGGAAATAAAGCAAATTCTTTAAAATCCTTCTTCTTCTGTAGGAATGAAAGGATTTGTTCCATATTTGTTCTGAAGCATCCGTGGGTGAAGGGGGAACAATTTTGTATAAACCGTGGTTCTGGCCCCCCGGGGCCTGAGCGGCGGGGCCCAATAGGGGTAACATAGCAAATTATTCTTTAAAATCCTTCTTCTTCTGTAGGAGTGAAAGGATTTGTTCCATATTTGTTCTGAAGCATCCGTGGGTGAAGGGGGAACAATTTTGTATAAACCGTGGCTCTGGCCCCCCGGGGCCTGAGCGGCGGGGCCCAATAGGGGAAACATAGCAAATTATTCTTTAAAATCCTTCTTCTTCTGTAGGAATGAAAGGATTTGTTCCATATTTGGTCTTAAGCATCCTTGGGTGAAGGGGAACCAATTTTGCATAAACTGTGGGTCTGGCCCCCCAGGGTCCTGAGGGGCGTGACCCAATAGGGGAAACATAGCAAATTCTTTAAAATCCTTCTTATTCTGTAGGAATGAAAGGACTTGGTTCATATTGGGTCTGAAGCATTCTTGGATAAAGGGGAACCCATTTTGTATAAACGGTGGGTGTGGCCCCCCTGGGGGCTGAGGGGCGGGGCCCAATAGGGGAAACATAGCAAATTATTCTTTAAAATCCTTCTTCTTCTGTAGGAATGAAAGGATTTGTTCCATATTTGGTCTGGAGCATCCTTGGTTGAGGGGGAACCAATTTTGTATAATTGGTGGGTATGACCCCCCTAGGGGCATAGGGGTGGGGCTATGTTTGAAGTTTGTTCTCGCTTTATCTCTAGTACTGAATGGATCTTTCTGAAATTGCATATGTACTTACAGCACCTACCATGGAGTGCTATATATTTACTTCATACCAATTATTTTAAACATATTCAGGTGAGCGATACAGGCCCTCTAGGCCTCTTGTTTTTTTTACCTTGGACAAAAAAGGGCTAGCCTTCAATTTTGCTATTGATATATTCCAGGGGTGCAGAGAGCGTACTTGACAGAGTATAGCCACGTGCACTGAAGTATCGAGGATGAGAAAAGTTGTGCAACTCTCTACTTTAAAATCATTCACCCCTGAAATTCCAACCCTTGAATTGGAAGAGTTCAAATGTGTCTTCAGGGATGAATGAGTTAAAACACTTTTCTATTTTTTAATAAAAACATGCAGTTTAAATTTATTGGTAAATGTTATTTGCCTTGGCGGGAAAAATTACTAGTATCAGCATTCATTAAAGTATTAATATTGTTAAGAGAGAAAAGAATATATGAGAAATTTATTCTGTGATGAAAGCGTTTTTAATGACATTGGGATATTTGTATGATGTTGCAGCTTTACATCGAGGCTACACGAGGAAGTAGCTGGGATGGTGATATCGCTTTAGATGACGTTGAATTAATTTATGGAACGTGTCGTAAGTATATCGGGAACCGGGGCCCTTATAAAATAAACTAAAAACAAAAAAATCAGTAAATATGAATGTTCACCGATGTGCCTATATTTGAGGATGGATAAAACTTGAAAGATAAGTTTTGAAGAAAAAAGAAGAAGATAAATTTCCAGAAATAACTTAATAATTTCTGGATGAATTCCTTCAAATATGAATAAACATGAACGGTGTGGTTATTACACATATTGCATGTCAAACCTGTACAACAATGTGACGAAAATTGTAGAATTAATTTGTTGCTCGATAAGATGTTTTGCTTATAGTGTATAAAGACTTATTGAATGCTTATACGATACAGTGTGTATACATTATATTTATAGGCAAAATCATCCTCAAGTAAAGTGAAAAATAAAAACATACAAATTTCTCGCTCAATTCAAGCTTGATAAAGGGACCTGCAGTCTTGACATATTGTGATGCGTTTGATATGTTCATTGTGTACAAGATAAAATTGATAATCCAGGGTTGCCAACCTCTAAGGAGGCCAGTGTGGCAGGTCTCCCTCCACTGGGTTTTCTTAAGTGTGAGACTTTTGACGGCGTCGCGCCGTGACGTCGTTTTCAGGTGTTGAGATAACATTTACCTATGTATCAAACAAATCCTGGCTTTCTCTGACTACTGTAACATCTGCATACTTTAAGATCTTTGCAGGAAATAAAAACAAAACATTTTTTGCAGATATATATTAGATTTTTATTTATCACACAAACAACTTGACATCAGAAATGCAACACATTATAATCAACAGACTTTCTTGTAACGATTTATTTCTTGGCTAGAACAGGTACCAGTCACTTTTTTTGTTTTGCTGTCAATATTGCTAGTATATTGGCATGGGATGTTCCATGACCTGTCAAAAAAAATAGCAGTTTGTTATAATAAGAAATAAGAATAATAATAAGAAATTTACCATAGTAGTAATATGAAAAGTTCATTAACATGAAAGATAAAAAAAAATAATTGATAATTTGACGGTGAAAAATATTTTCCAATTATTTCTGGATACTACATTATCCACAGCAACAAACAGACCCTGATCATTTACTTGTACCATGTCTGTAATATTCGATTCAATTTATTTGTTGCATGATTATATACCTCGTTATTTTTTTTCATCACATCAGATTGAAAAGTGTTTAGTTCTACAAGTCTTTGGTGCGTTAACGTTGCATTTTTTTCGCCACTTATACTGCAAAAAATAACAAATGCGTGAGATTTATGGCTCACGTGGCGTGAGACATGTTTCAGCATGAGTGAGGACCTTTTTAGAACGTTTTAGCGTGAGTTTTTGTCTCACGCCGTAAGAGTTGGCAACCCTGATGATTTCAAATTTCCAAACTAGTAAACATTGAAGACCTCGCAAAATATTGCCTTTACAATTGCCAAATCATGTACTGTACATGTTCAGTGCTTGAATATGTACCAGGAACTTATTTGCGGGGTTTTAAATTAGCTTTACACCGATTCCAACACAGAGTTCTTCCGCATTCCACCGGGTTTTGCTATGAACAATGGACAGGTTTGTACAGTGATTCATTATGGGAAAATACCACTTATTACCTCCTTTTGAAATCGGGGGTTTTGCTAGCTATTTTGGGAAAGTGCCCCTGAGCAGGAATTCGATAAAATATTGCCAGCATCTGACAAAAATTGGAAAATATTATCAATGTTCCCACAATTGTACAAAAATAATGTGATTATCAAAATGTCCTCTACAATACTATAGCTGTTTCTTACAGTACAATTTATGGCAAAAATAAACATCAATTTTCAGTGCTTTTGTTTATTCAATTTCAAATTTTCGTTATATAAGTATTTGGAATGCTCCTTCGTGGATGGTAATATTTTGAACATTGCACAATTATAACGACTGGAAACCTGTATAAACATGCTTTTTAATCCCATTGGACAAAAAAAGACTGAAATTTTGAAAATGCAGGGTCATTTTTCAATTGGGAATGGGTCCCTCTATCGGACCCTATAAACACCTAGCGAAAACCCTGGTTACATTAATATTGACTCCATCATACAAACTTCCCGAAAATTCTTACGTCACTTTATTGTTGGAATTGACCAGTTTAGATACATGTCATCAGATCTAAAATGGTAAGTATGCTGGTAATGGTTGATAGGATTTGTCAGAATTCAAAAACAGGTTCATATGGTCAGGATCATAAGATCGTATAGATTTTATAAATGTCTGGTAGGGCTGCAATGATATATCATTTCATATCACGATACTTGTGTATTGTATCAAATTGGTTTATTTTTGTTTGCCTCTATAGTGATACATCATACAACGAAATTTTAAAACCCCACAAAAATTAGTGATTTCACAGTATCATATTGCATTAAGAATTGTTACATAATATATTAATACAGTCAAACTTTGATCTTTGCGGGACCATCGAAAAAATTGAAACATCGGAACTTCGACTCGGGAATATGCTACCACCATTGAAAACATGTACAAGAGACTAAATGTGATTCTTAAATGACGAAAAACAGGCTAAGAAATCTAATTTTAGATTTATAAATATTGGATTTGTAGTACAACAGTAATAAGAGTAACATGTTAAAACAAACTGCATTGTCTTGATTCTTTAGGTCACAGGTCAAGGTCACTGTTACTATAAATAGAAAATCCGTTTCCACTTTATAGCTTTAATTGTTTCTGGGATGATTAGCTTGAATTGTATTGCTCAATAATTCATTGTTAATAATTTAACTAATTTAAAATACAGATATTCAAAATACTGCTAATAATCACAAACTGCACAATTACTTCCTTCACTCATTCACCCCTGCAATTTCATAATGAACCAGTCCAACATTTGAATTGGAAGAGTTCAAACGCATTTTAGGGGTGAATGAGTTAAGAATCCTAGTACACTGCAAAAAAATGTAAAAGACACATGGGAAACTTTCCTCCGACATGACTATATCTATGATGAATTAATTCTGAAATGAAGACCATACCTTGCAGGACTTCTATAAAAACAATAAAGATGAAATAAAGAAAACGTAACCAACAACAGTGTTGGTGTTGGAACAGGATTCGAACCCCAGACTCCAGACTGTTATCAGTATTGTTCTAACCAATTGAGCTACCTGGTCAATGCAAATATGTTTATGCTAGCCCAACTGCACTACAATTTATATTTTAAACAAAATTAAGGGGAGGTAACTGTATATATGAAAAAACATATTTGCAGTAGAACAGGGATCCTTAACTTGTTCACCCATGAATGTATAATACGGCAGTAAAATGAACAGGTCTTTTCTAGTATCTCTGCATTCACTGTAATAACTTGTTCAATCCTAGAAGACACATTTGAACTCTACCAATTCAAAGGTTGGAATAGTTCATTATGAAATTTCAGGGGTGAATGAGTTAACCAAACTATGATCAGTTTGTGGATATTTAATTTAGTGTTATCTTGGGTAACCACCAATATAGCAAGATTAACTCGGTCACCCCGGATATTTCATAATAAACTATTCCACCCTTTGAAATCGACAAGTTCAAATGTTGTTTCAGGAGTGAATGAGTTAATTAAAGAAATTACAAATTATACATTGGATTTAAATTAGCCCTGAAGTATTTTTACATTTGGTTGTTCATTTTACCAGGGAGTGTTCCTGTGACCTGCACATTTGAAGATGGGGCCTACTGTTTCCTGGAGCAGGTCAATGCTGCAGTGGACATTTTTGATTGGACTATAAATCAGGTAGGTTTACAACAATAGACTGTCAAGTTGATGGACTGATCACTCAAAACATGACAACACTATACGTATCACCATACTATGGTCACGATTCGATATGTAGCACAATACATATAGTAACAATAGAAGGGAAAAGATGTATTGCAATTTTTTAATGGCAATATTACAAAAGAAAATAGACTTGGTCCAAAATAGACATAATTTTTATAAAGTTTCTCATAATTCACAAATTTCCACGTGCATACCAATCTGTAGCTGTCACAAGCCATGCATGAACCTATCTGAGCAGATTGAATTCAGAATCGACAAAACCCTGAATATCCTAGGTGTATCATAACCTCCCATAAAATACTGTGTAATGTACAGTGTTCAAAATATGTCACGATATATTGTTGCAGCTCTACTAGTTATATTTGTATACCCCCGCAACGAAGCTAGAGGAGTATACTGGAACCACCCTGTCTGGATGTCCATCTGTCTGGATGTCTGACGTCCACAGTAAACTTGTCCGAAAAACTTGATCTTAACCGACAAGCAGATTTTACTGAAACTTCACTTACATAATTTGTCTGGAAACCCCAAGGTCAAGGTCACTAAATGAATTATAAACTACTAGCATTTGAGGGGGGTATTCGTTATCCTCCGGATGACAGTTCTAGTGTATAATTCTAATTACAAGGATCACTGTTCCAATGCATCGGAACGTGTTTTTTTGTGTCGCCGACATATAGGTATTACTTTGTCTGCGTCGTCCGAACCAAGGTTTCCGTGCGATAACTTGCATTGAGTTACCTTGGGTTGTTTGAACTCAAACTTGTTTTACATATTGCATTTTAATATCGTTCAGACAAGTTCGCATTTCAGAAGATTACGTGCATTTTTGTTGGAGTTATGCCTCTTTTATTGCCAAACAAGGGCGTTGTGTAGTAAATGCAAGAACCTTTATTTTTTATTTTTTAATCAATTCTTTTCAAATTTTGTACGGTAATGCTAGAAGCAATGAATTATTATTTAGGGGATAGTATATTGTTTTGAGTGGCTATACTGGCAATTAGAACATGAAATTTGGGTTTGAACTCGAGACCGACAGGTCGAGAGTTTAAACCAAATTTCATGTTCTAATCGCCAGTATAGACACGAAAAACAATGTACTACCCCTATTCTAACACACCTTAACAAATATACTACGCTGATATGTTTAGAAACATTGTATTTCCTTGTACAAAAGTACGTAGTGAAATACTTTGTGACCTGAACTGGCGACGTGTCATTCTGCAACGGACTGACCAATCGGAAAGAAGCTTTCAAAAGTCGGTCATTTGGCCTCGCCCATACTGGCGAGAGCTTGATCTGTATGTTGACGTGGCAGAATATTTGTATTGTTCATGAACGTCCTATTACCAAAGTTTAAACGACATATTTTGATTAATATTGACCAAGTTCTTACATTTCCATGTCAGCTTCCATACTAATCTATGCTTATCGACAAAATCGGTGATTAATTGTATCGATTTGTGAAGAGTTTTGTGTAAATGCATACGACACATGTGAAATGTCTCATTTGATTTCGGATCTAAATAGATGCCTTCACACGGATGGAACAAACGTTTCAATAATAAATGAAGGTAAGAACAAGGAATGTGTTCTTTTTACTTTTTAATTCATTCAACAAATGCATTTCATCGGTCGTTTCTGTTCTGTTGCCTATTAGCCTTATCAGCGAGCTTGACGCCATATTGTTTTGGTTAGAAAAAGTGCGTGGCTTAAGTGCGATGGGAGGAGCTTATTCGCAGATTAGAACATGGTCCGTATCCAATCAAAATATGCGTTGCAAATGAATCGTGTTAGAATGGTTCTTCTGTCAAGTTTCAACTTTCCACGTTTTGGCATATCTGTTTAAGCGATAACTCAAGCCAAACACTTTTCTTACCAAAAGTGCTGAGCAGGTGACACATCCACTCCCGTGGAATTCTTGTTCTTGCATGAACTCAACTTTGATAAATCATTCCTGAATTAACAAACCGTACTTTTCACCCCTGAAGATGCATTTGAACTCTTCCAATTCAAAGGTTGGAATAGTTCATTATGAAACTTCAGGGGTGAATGAGTTAATAGGATGAAGTAAACCCCCAGAATAAAAGAATAATAAAGATGAATTCGGTCAAATATAACCTGTAACTGGGTTCCAAGTATAAAATGTTACTGTTGGTCAACTTCAAGTCAAGTGCACCTTGCCTATTTCAGAACTATTGCATGCTTTTTAAGCACCTGTCAACAAGTTTGACAGGATGTATTATAGTATGGTGAGCGTCTTTTTCAATACTTTGGGTCCGCAAGATAACTTGCTTAAATAACAAGTCAATTTTGATGGAAGTTGGTATGCATCTACATTATATAAAAACTGAAGCTAACTTTGAAATTGAGCAAAATCCACACATAATTTATTAGGATTGTGTGCTTTGATTGGTAAATTTTCAAACTTAAGTTCTTAGAAGATAGCTTAATTGCTTAAATGTTTGATGAAACTTGGTATGCCTGTACATTATACAAAGGTTGAGGCTAATTAAGTTCAAAGTTGAGCAAAAACCACGCATAATAAATTAGCATACTGTGCTCTATGCTCTAATTTGTTGACGGTTTCTGCACAATTACTTTGTCAAAATATTTACACTTTGACCTATAGCAAAATTTGCCAGTAATTAATGTAACATAGATATACCTAGGAATCGATTATTGGCTAAAAGGGGCAATTTCAATTTTTATTTTCATGATTTGAAATATAAACAAAGGGAGACAATTCCTATGAAAATCAATTATTTAAGGGTGAAAAGAATATATGAAATTTTCCTTAAAGCTTAAGTTGGTCAAGTACAGTATGTTGTTACCTTTCACCACATTCAAGAGATAGCTCTCAAATTTGACCGTTTCACCACTGTAGGCATTAAATGACTCACCCAGGTTAATGATGGGAGAGTACTCAAGTTACCTATGAGTGAAAGGGTTAGTAAGTAATACAGTACAAATGCTCTTCTTACATTGCCATATTTTAATACACTGAGGTAAAACGATGCATGAGAATGATTTTAGGGAAGTCGCATTGCCACGGGAGCTCGGGAGTATATTATTTTCAGCCCTGTGTTACGCTTGTTACTGTTTATTTTTCAGAGAGGCACCCCAAGCTCAAACACTGGACCAGATAAAGCCCACACTGGATCGAAATATGCATTTATTGAAACTTCCTACCCTAGAGCGAGTGGAGATAATGCAATCCTCAGCTCTGAGCAGACTACTTTCATACGTAGGTTCAAAACTTAGTGTGTTGCGGTAGTAGTTTCTCAAACCACGTGTCACCTTTCCGTAGGATTTATCTTCTTAAATACAGGTTGTAATATGCCTCTGTAATGGTTTTCGAAACCACACATATGATCCAACTTGTGTCTGTATTCATACAGTATACCAGGAATTCTTTTCTGCAGTTTAATGTTTGCCTGTTTCACCCTCTGTGATGAAGAATTTATCATTAAGCGAATATAAGTAAACAACATAATAAACACGGCAATTAAATGTAAAGGGCAAATTAAAAATGGGCAAATATGGATTTTACAGGTGAAGGGCGAAAGTTTGTCTTGTCGAACATTTTTCAATATATAGTAAGAGCCCTTTCCCTTATATTTAGTGCCTCTTCTCTTTTCGGGTATTGATAATAATAATTGATAATTCGGGCAACATAATAATTAAATGTAAAAGGCAGATTTAATGTTGGGTGAAAACATATTTTGCCGTCAAACGTGAACATTTCCCTGTATACAGTATTATGTGGCCTGTACAGCAATGGCCACAATCTGTTTTGTTTTCTTAATCAATTCTCCCCTGAAGACACATTTGAACTCTTTCAATTCAAAGGTTGGAATAAATCATTATGAAATTTCGGGTGAGATGAGTTAAAAGCGTCCCCTCCAGCAAATTTTGCATGTGGTTAATTTCTAGGGCTTGCTGTCGCAAAATATTGGTAAACTTGTAAACACAGGCATGTATGCTATTGTAATACAAAATTGAATTTAATATCAATGTATCGCAATATTTTTTAACTTTGCAAATATGCCAATAACCATACACAGGGTTATAACTAGTGGTGGGAATCGGTTGAAATTTCATAATCGATGGTTGATATTTAAAAAACCCAAATAGTAAATCTTTGCTATCAATATTAAAGAAGATACAGTTTGATAACAATTCTGACAACAATTTCTTTTCAACTCATTCACCCCTAGAGTCACATTTGAACCTTTCCAAATCAAAGACTGGGCAAGTCCAGTTTAAATAAGTAGGAGAGAATGAGTTAAAAGAATACCTTTTTCCAATGACGATATATCATGATACACTGTAGGTGTATTGACACCCCTACTAATTATGTTAAATACAATGAACGATGTTGGATTACTTCTGTAGTGGGTAAGGCTGAATCCACTGTATTGTTCTTCTATCCACAAGTAACATATTCTGGGTAAAGTATAGGAAACTAATATCCAATCTTTATGCCGTATTTTATGCAATTGGAAATCCAATTTTACAGTCAATTTTTTTTCCAGCCATGAATCGATGCCTGCGGTTTTACTTTCACATGAAGGGTGATTCAATTGGCGATCTGATTGTGCTGTCCGGCGAGCGAGGTTCTGAAACAACGGTCTGGAGCTTGTCGGGCGCACAAGGAAACGATTGGGTGTACACTGAAGTCAGCTTGCCAACAGCAGCTGACCTTGTGGTAAGTTTGATTGGTAAACTGATCCATTTATTATAGCCACCTAGTACACAGAACCACATTGCGCTAATGATACCATCAGATTGTAGTATATTAAGCTTAATGTACCCACTGACCCCCCTGTCCGTGCCGTATTGAGCATAAAATTCCCTCACACCATTTACATTAAACTTATAATACACCCCTGTCCGTACCACATTACCAGGTAAGCTCAAATTACCCCTCATCCGCAAACCCCACTGTCTACCATATTGAGCTTATTATAGTCTCATACCATATCACATGTAGCCTAATATACATTCAGTCCATACCACATGTAGCTTAATATACCTTCAGTCCATACCACATGTAGCTTATAATCCCCCTATCCATATCACATGTAGCTTATAATCCCTCAGTCCATACCACATGTAGCTTATAATCCCCCTGTCCATACCACATGTAGCTTAAAATCCCCCAGTCCATACCACATGTAGCTTATAATCTCCCTGTCAATACCACATGTAGCTTATAATCCACCAGTCCATACCACATGTAGCTTATAATCCCCCTGCCCATACCGCATGTAGCTTATAATCTCCCTGTCCATACCACATGTAGCTTATAATCCCCCAGTCCATACCACATGTAGCTTATAATCTCCCTGTCCATACCA